GCCATATATATACAGGCCAAAGCGGGAAGCGAGAGCTTTAGCTCTCACTTCCTCGCTCTCGCCCACACTCCCCTAAAACGGTTTACGGGAGCAATTTACGGCTTTCGCCAAAGTATAATTTTCCTTACGAAAGTATAATTATCGTTGTAATTAAAACAAAAAACACAATGTCATTTATAAAAAAACTAATTGCATATTATACTGCAATGCTTTTTAAAAAGCAAGGTTGTTGCAAAAAAAAATTAAAAAGAGCGCTGATTTATATAAGGAGTAGGTCGCACAGCTCCCCAATTTCGTTTTAGGAGAGCTTTTTTTCTGCTCTCGTGCTTATTTATTCCCGCCGAGGCCTATATATATATATATATATATATATATATATATATATATATATATATATATATATATATATATATATATATATATATATATATATATATATATATATATATATATATATATATATATATATATATATATATATATGTATGTATATATATATGTATGTATATATATATATATATATATATATATATATATATATATATATATATATATATATATATATATATATATATATATATATATATATATATATATATATACATATATATACAAAAATAAAGTTTAAACAAATATCAACACTAATTTATTGTTATAAATAAAAATCACACATTTTTTTAAAGGTATTCTTTGAAAACTTTAAAACCGTAAAACGTAAGCTGTAGTTTCTTGAATATCCATTTAAGGTCAATATCAATTATATGTAATAATAATGTTTTTATATTTGATGATATTCAAATCCAAAATGTAATCCTTTAATTTTTACTTATTCAAAAAAATCTTTTATTTCTTATTACTTTGTACTTTTGCTTTGAATTATAACAATGTTGATTGGATTTATAGAAATGATTTGCGTTTTTGGTGTTTTTTTTCTTTAAAACATATCGATGTCGAAGTATCAGCTATGTTTTAACAAAATATTATTTTTTAAGTTTCTTAGGCCGCACATTTTTCAAAATTCGATAAGTGGTAAAAGTAGCAACATTTTTGTGTATTTTTTATTTTTTGAATTTACAATTGCTTTTATTTGTATCGGATTATTAAGTATGTATGCATGTATGTTTGTATGTATGTATGTATGTATGTATGTATGTATGTATGTATGTATGTATGTATGTATGTATGTATGTATGTATGTATGTATGTATGTATGTATGTATGTATGTATGTATGTATGTATGTATGTATGTATGTATGTATGTATGTATGTATGTATGTATGTATGTATGTATGTATGTATGTATGTATGTATGTATGAATGTATGTATGTATGTATGTATATATGTATGTATGCAAGGCTGGCGCGATAGGGGTGTGTGAGTGTGGGGGGGAGGGTGTTACACCCCCCCCCCCCATCAATGACTTTTAGTCGGCAAATTTGACCCTTAGTCGGCAAATGTGACCCTTTTTGTCAGTCGGCAAATGTCAGTCGGCAAATGTTGTTATGGCAGTCGGTAAACTTTAAAAAACGAAGACCTTTTTTTTTTTTTTTTTAAGACGGCAAAAGCTGTAATGGCACCCCCCCACGTGACCCCATACTCGCGTTGGCCCTATGTATGTTTGTATGTTTGTATGTTTGTATGTATGTATGTATGTATGTATGTATGTATGTATGTATGTATGTATGTATGTATGTATGTATGTATGTATGTATGTATGTATGTATGTATGTATGTATGTATGTATGTATGTATGTATGTATGTATTTATGATTCAAAACACTAATTTGCGATGTGATATTTATTAAAGAAGATATAAACACAAACATAAAAAAAACAACCCAAAATGTAACTTTACAATTTTCACTTATTTAAAAAATACTTTTTTAATTATTACTTTATACTTTTCTTTTGAAATAAAAAGATTGGATTATTAAGAATGAAATAGTTATCCAATTACTAAGTATCTCTAGGTTACAAGTTAGTAAAAACAAGTTTAACTGAAACCAGTGGAAACATTTTTTAAACAATTTTTTTTTCTTGAATATATTAAAATTGATTTAAGGATTTAAATCGTTAAAAAAGTTTAATGCAGAAAAAAAAAAGAAAAAAAAAAGTGTTTTTAGGAATGTCCTTAATTTATCCAAAAAACATCTAACATATAAATTTGATTGGGCATACAAAGTCTTTGAAATTTTAATTTTATGTCAAATTTGTATTGCCACGCAACAATACCTAAGTAAAATTTAAAACATAAATATATCTTTGTTTCGTAACAGTGTTTTTTTTTTTTATTCCTATTTATCTTAACTAAAATTTTTATAGTTTTTCTTTATTATGTTAGAACAATTATGTTATTAATTTATCACTTTTTTATTTATCAACTTTTTAATTGCTTTTATTTAGGTTTATAAAGCTTGAAAAATGTTATTTTAAGATGGTGTTTTTTAATTATTATGTACATAATAATTTTCATTCGTTTTACATTTTATATAAAATCTAAAAGTATTAAATTTTGAGCAACAAAAACTAACAAAGTTAACAAACAATCATTTTAAACATGGCAGCCTTTAGGAATAAGGAAGAAATTTACATAAAGTTTATTGATCTTTATGTTAGTGCTGGTTCAAAAGATATTTTAAAGAATGTCTGTGGAGAAATAAATCCTGGAGAAGTGTTTGCCATTATGGGACCATCAGGTGATATTTTAATCTTTTTTTTTTAATTAATTATCTCTCTTTCTCTCTCTCTATATATATATTTATAGGAGGTACAGAACATACAGAGGTGGAAAAGCCAACGACACTAGGGAGAAGAGGGGTAGGCGGCACGTCCCCCCCCACCATTTTTTTCTACAGACCTTTTTTTTTTTAAGAAAATGCTAGATACAGAGAACTTTTTTAAAAACTGACGATTGTGTTCCTCCTCTTTGAAACCCGTGTCGACGGCCTTGGGTGGCTAAGAATATACGGAAAGTTATTTTATTATAATAAGACCATATTTGAAACTGTATTTTTATGAAAGGACAAAAAAAGTAACCCCAAAAATAAATTTATCTACATAATAGGTGATTTGAATTTAAATTTCTATACTACATCAATAACAACGTTTAAAGATTTTATAATGGCATATTTAAATATCATGCTTTTCTTTTGATTAGCAAACCAAAAAGAATTACTTAATCAAGAGCCTCTCTAATTGATAACACTTTAACCTCTGATTTTTTAACGAACCCTTAAAAAAGGGCATATTTAAAAACACATCTGATCATTTTCCTATTTTATTTTCTACAAATATGGATAAAATATTACTAACCAATGTAAAATAAGACTTTAAAAAGCGTATTATTACCAAAAATAACCTTGAATCTTTTAAAGAACAATTAGCTTAAGTTGATTGGAGCTTTATTAACTCTTCTGATTATACAAACACAGTTTCCAATCTCTTTTTTAAAACTTTTATTGGTATTTGAAACTTACCTAAAGTTAACTTAAATCTCACAACTAAAAGTATCAAATTGCTTTGGATTACATGTTATACTGACCGCCTTGGATTACATGTTATACTGACCGCCTTAAAAGACAAAAAAAAACTTGCTAACATTTATCTCTAAACTCTTAGTTGAGATCTTTTAAATTATTATTCAAAGAGTTTGAAAACGCCTTTAAACTGTTAAAATCTAGCAAAGCAGTAGGCCCTGACCCAGTGGACACCGCACCAAAAAAAGACGTCTTTTGAACGTTCAAAAGATGTCCAAAACGTTCAAAAGACGTTTAAAAGACGTCTAAAACGTGTATAAGACGTTTAATAGACGTCTTTTTTACGTCGTGTCCACTGGGGATGATGTTGATGACAACATTGTTAAAAGTTCATTTGATGTTTTAAAAGATATATTCTTTAATATTTTTTTAAAACCAACAGTGAATTTTTATACAAGCTCTAAAATTAGAGAAAGTCACACCAATGTTAAAAGCTTGTCACTTTGAGAATGTACCACAAAATTTATAAATTTACTCTTAATTATACTCTCGAGTTCTTAATACAAGGAAAAGAAGGGGGGGGGGAGGGAGGAGTTGGAATAAACTTTTTTCCAAAAATTAATAAACTTCTCCCCTCCCCCGTGTATTAGGGACTCGATAGTACTATCAATAATTTAGTAAACAGCAATCAATATGGCTTACAAAAAAAAAAAAAAAAAAAAAAAAAAAAAAACTCTACTGAACATGCATTTCTTCAATTTTCTAGTAATATTATTGACTCTTTTGAAAATTCTCAAACTAAAGATTTGTCAATAAAAATACTTAAATTCTTGGGTATTTTTATTGGCAAAAGCTTTTTCTACTATTGATCATGAAATTCTTTAAAAAAATCAGAGTGCTACGTTACGAGTTACTGGAAATATAAAGATATTTCTTTATATTTCCAGTAACTCGTAATTACTCGTTAGTACGAATTATTGGAAACTTGACTAAAAAGTTAAATAAAAGTAAATAATTGGAGGCGAATTGTTTACGCGAGCGTATAATCTATTTTCTTAAACATTTGTGTAGTTTCTTAAGGATCTATATTAGGGTATCTTCTATTTTAAATATAAATAATGATCAATCCAAAGCTTCTAACATAATAGCTATTACGTTTGCTGATGTTTCTAACTTTTTTCTCTACACAATAACATTATGACAGTCTTTAGCAACATGAACAATAAACAAAATTTTTAAAACACACTTATCACATGTTTTTTGTCGTACTTGTACTTATGAAAAGAAACAAATATATTTTTAGGAATGATAATTTAATTCGATAACTAGTTTCTTAAACTAATTTTTGAAAATTATTATTTTATGATGCGGACCATTTTTATTTTTTTTAATACTACCAATAATTTTTTTTAAGAATGTAACTTTGGTTCTTCTAAACGAAATATTTAAAAGATCACTTTACATTTTATTTCTTCTTAAAAATATCTGTCTTCGCAGAATAGGTCAAATGTTTTCAGTTCTGTAAAATTGATAACGAAATAATTTCTTTTTATACTTTTTTGCGTTCTTTTTTATTTTATAATTGCATTTATTGTTGTTTCTTTATTTAATATATATATATATATATATATATATATATATATATATATATATATATATATATATATATATATATGTATATATATATATATATATATATATATATATATATATATATATATATATATATATTTATATATATATATATATATATATATATATATATATATATATATATATATATATATATATATATATATATATATATATATATATATATATATATATATATATATATATATATATATTCATCAACAAAGACTCATCAGAAATGAATAATCAAATTAATAAAACTTCAGTTTATACCATAAAATTAAATTACAATGGGCAGTTATGATTGAGCAGAAATTTGTGAGTTTGTTGGACTATACATTTTAGATTTATTAAGTAAAATAATCAATATAAATGATTTAGGATTTGCGACGATGCGACGATGGTTGAATAGTAATGCGTAAAAAATTTGGTCCACAGCTCGATTGTAAAGCTTTATAGATTCGAAAAGATATTATAAAAATTTATTAAAATATTGGCTTTCAAATCGAAATAAACATAAATTTAAAAATCGTGAACTTTCTTGATGTCACATTTAACCTCTCTGAATATTCATATAAACCCTGCAAAAAACCAAACGATGAATTATTGTATATTAATATTAACTCAAATCATCCACCACAAATTCTAAAACAAATACCGATTTCAATTAATAACTAGTTAAACCAAAACTCCTCTAATGAAAATGTATTTATTTCCTCCAAACGAATATTTGAAGATGCCCTTAAAAAAAGTGATTTTGAAAATTTTGAACTAAAATTTGACCCTGAAAAAAAGAATACCAAAAAACGGAAAAGAACTAGAAATGTAATTTGGTTCAACCCCCCATATAGCAAAAAATGTTTCCACTAACATAGGAAAAGTGTTTTTAAAATTGGTCGATAAGCATTTCCTCCCTCTAATAAATTACATAAAAATTTTTAATCGAAATACAATTAAAGTTAGCTACAGTTGCACAAAAAATATGGAAAGAATTATAAAAAGTCACAATAATGCTTTGTTAAATAAAAAAGAAATCCTAAATGAAAAAACTACAGAAAATTGTAATTGTAAACAAAAAAACAATTGTCCAATGAGTGGAAGTTGTTTACCAAAAAATGTAATATATAAACGTGTTGTTTGCTCTAAGAATTTACCCGATAAACAATATATTGGCATAACAGAGAGTGAATGGTAAAAATGTTTTGCCAATCATAAGCAATCTTTTAAAAATAAAAAGTATTCAAAAGACACCATGCTGTCAAAATATATATGGGAACTAAAAGATAAAAATATTGATGATTTTATACTGAATTGGTCCATCCTTAAAACAGCGCCTGCATACAACAATATTTCCAAAAAATGCTGTCTACATGAAAAATTTCAAATAATTACACATGCAAACCAAGAATGTTTGTTAGACAAAAAATCGGAATTGACTTCTAAATGCAGGCACGAAAATAACTTTCTCCTAAAAAACTATAAAAATAAGTGAGCTCAAATAATAGCTACATTAAATCCCCCCTTTTTTAAAAATATTTTTATGAAAAAAAAAACATTTGCGACTTCCTGTAATTTAATTTTATGGTATAAATTGAAGTTTTATTAATTTGATCATTCATTTCTGATGAGTCTTTGTTGATGAAACAGTGTAAAATGAAAACAATTTTTTGTTAAGTGATTTTCTACTAATTTATAATTGCTCTGTTCTTTTAAGAACATTGAGCACTTTTTTTTTGTAGAATACATTTTTAAAATTGTTTAAATATATATATATATATATATATATATATATATATATATATATATATATATATATATATATATATATATATATATATATATATATATATATATATATATATATATATACATATATATATCAAACTAAAAGTTTGATATATATGACATATATCAAACTATTTATATATTATAGATATAAATCAAACTTTTTGTTTTCTGTTTTAATATAACATAAGAATTTTACAACTTCGCGCTAAAAAAAAAAAAGTAGGTAAAACAGATAGAGGCTCAAAAAAGATGAGGATGACAGTACGTCATCGCAATCTTTTCATAGAGCCCCTTTAACAAAATTTCAATTAAAAAAAAAAGGTGAAAGTAAAAAAATTAGAAAATTTTTATCATAGTCACTAATAAAAACCAAAATTTTCAGTGTAAACAGGCTTTAAAAATTACCAACTAAGTAAATCCCGATTTATCGAAAATGTGCTTTTAATTCATTTCTCACCAAATTATAAAACTTATTAACTCCTATTAAACTTATTATAAAGCAGCTGTTAGAAAATGCACATTTGACCGCAAGCCACACTAAATTTAAATAGTTTTGTAAAAAATATTAGTTTGGATTTATAAAACTGAAACTTGAAAAAAAATACTTTAAATTGTAAAATACTCGACTCGAGAGTAGGTGTAATGGGTCTATGATCAAATGTCCAATCTCTATCTAATACTTCAATTTTGTATTTACATCTAAATTTACCTCTAACAATTGAAGGCATTACTTTTGAACCGATATATGCGGGATCTATACACATATAAAATTGTTTACAATTTTTGTTTCCAGCAAAAGG